CCCCCACCTCATGTCATAGGAGCCATGTTCTCAAAAACATACCCTATGGTGTGGCGAGGCGAGTGAGGCAGAACAATAGTGAAGACACTAATTTCTTAGAGCAAAGGGAGGTATATACTGGTTACCTTGTAGCCCGTGGTTACCATTCTAGTATTGTAGACGATGCTTTCAACAAATTTAGTGATATAACCAATAGGAAAAACTTGTATGCCCCTAAAAATAAGGATGAGACGACTACTTGTCTAATACCCATGGTGATGGATCAGAATCCAGCACTTTAGTACAGACAGATCCGTCTGAAAAAATCGATCTGCTGACACACGAAGCTTTCAGAGGATTTTTGACGTTTTTGAGTCCCATTAGGTGCCCTTTATGGCTGACCAACTTTTCCAAACTTTTCCACGTGTCTTAAGGCCACTTTTTGCCACTTTACCACTTTTTACCACCTTTCTTGTTTGTCGAATATCTTTAGTTGTGAACATCGTAAAAGGTTGCGAATCAATCGAGTGTGTTCATATTATCAGGAAGAAAAACTTTTGTTGAAACAATTTTTACGTCAGATAATAAGTTAATTGGATAATTATCAATTAACTAATTAGCAAAATTCTAAAAATTTTTTATTGGCTAAAAATGATCGAAATAGCTTGAAACACGGAGAAAAGTAGTTTTTAGAAAAAATTTGAAAATTTTTCACTTACATTTTTTTTTCGAGACTTCGAAAAATTTCGAAAATTCAAAATATTTTTTTCCGCCAAAATTGATCAAATTGCATGAAAAGCGGAGAAAAATGATTTTCAAAAAAAACTTAGTCAATTTTTCGTTTCAAGAATACTTAAATCACCAATATTTGTAGTTGGAGTTCAGTAAATCTCGGCAGATTTTAGTAATAATCAGGAATTACTAACTCTAAGTGGAAAGGTCTGAAACTGAAAAACGTTAAGTTTAACCATACGATCGCGATATAAGAGTTTCATAACTAATTACAATACAGCCTTATCGATTTTCACAGAAACTGCACCAATGGCACAGTCAAGATCGAAACGATAGCCTGCTGTACTGTCATTTTATTGATTTCAATGATGAATCAGTGGGGTTAAGATAATCACATTTGTAATAAATAAGACATCTCTGTACCGTCAATTGTGCTAATCTAAACCGGCTTACCTGTATTACCATTTACCAGACCTCTTCTTTTCCTCAACAATCAAACCGAGTTGTTCATATCGCATTTGGTGGGCGATGTAAGTAGTAATACATATCGAGCTATATTCAATCACAATACGACACAGTACGTGTATATTATATGGCTCTGAATGAGGTTTATGAAACGCTTTATACCGTGAGAAACTCGGTATAGAGAGGTTTTACAGTTTATCGCGAAAATGTCTACTTGGTCTCATGGCTCATTTATAGTTCGAAGAAGGGCAAGAACAGATCAGGGAAACTGAGGAACAGCCAGGTCCAGGAAGCAAGTGTAAATACACCTTCCAACATCTACTGTGACTGTTTTGTATTGTACTGCATACCGCTTCATTTGCGGGATACCTCAAATCACCCCCATATGTCAGGGTCGGCTAAAAGTAAAATCAACAAGGGTAACATACGGGAAAGGGTAAGATTTAGATACGAGTACAGTGTCGGGCAAGGGGTAGTAAAGAACCAGTAATAATTAATTCAGTGAAATGTTCCACGAGAGTCAGGATATTTTGGAAATTGCTAATAGAGACAGATCCTGATCAGGAAGGATTGTTAATGTTATTGAGGATGTTGATTTGAAATCCGGACGTCGTGAAGTAAAAATACAGGTTCTTCCCGCAGGGATTAATGTGGGACAGATCGAAGACTAACAACTGAACCCAATTGAACCTAGTTCCCACTAACCTATCAGCTTAATTGGTTAGGGTTAGGGTTAGGGTTAGGGTTAGGGTTAGGGTTAGGGTTAGAGTTAGGGTTAAATGTCTAAATTGGGTACAGTTGTCCGGTAGCCCGCTCTTGCGAGTTGACATTCTAAGCTTTCTGGTCTTATCTTGCCTTCTTTGAGCTGTCAAAGAGCCATGAGACCAAGTAGACGTTTTCGTGATAAACTGTAAAACCTCTCCATATCGGGCCTCTCACGGGAGAAACGAGAAGTGTACGGTATAGAACGTTTCATATACCTCATTAAGGGCCATAATATAATATACATGTGTTGCATTGTGTCGTATTGTGATTGAATATAGCTCGATATGTATTACTACTTACATCGCCCACCAAATGCGATATGAACAACTCGGTTTGATTGTTGAGGAAAAGAAGAGGTCTGGTAAATGGTAATACAGGTAAGCCGGTTTAGATTAGCACAATTGACGGTACAGAGATGTCTTATTTATTACAAATGTGATTATCTTAACCCCACTGATTCATCATTGAAATCAATAAAATGACAGTACAGCAGGCTATCGTTTCGATCTTGACTGTGCCATTGGTGCAGTTTCTGTGAAAATCGATAAGGCTGTATTGTAATTAGTTATGAAACTCTTATATCGCGATCGTATGGTTAAACTTAACGTTTTTCAGTTTCAGACCTTTCCACTTAGAGTTAGTAATTCCTGATTATTACTAAAATCTGCCGAGATTTACTGAACTCCAACTACAAATATTGGTGATTTAAGTATTCTTGAAACGAAAAATTGACTAAGTTTTTTTTGAAAATCATTTTTCTCCGCTTTTCATGCAATTTGATCAATTTTGGCGGAAAAAAATATTTTGAATTTTCGAAATTTTTCGAAGTCTCGAAAAAAAATGTAAGTGAAAAATTTTCAAATTTTTTCTAAAAACTACTTTTCTCCGTGTTTCAAGCTATTTCGATCATTTTTAGCCAATAAAAAATTTTTAGAATTTTGCTAATTAGTTAATTGATAATTATCCAATTAACTTATTATCTGACGTAAAAATTGTTTCAACAAAAGTTTTTCTTCCTGATAATATGAACACACTCGATTGATTCGCAACCTTTTACGATGTTCACAACTAAAGATATTCGACAAACAAGAAAGGTGGTAAAAAGTGGTAAAGTGGCAAAAAGTGGCCTTAAGACACGTGGAAAAGTTTGGAAAAGTTGGTCAGCCATAAAGGGCACCTAATGGGACTCAAAAACGTCAAAAATCCTCTGAAAGCTTCGTGTGTCAGCAGATCGATTTTTTCAGACGGATCTGTCTGTACTACTTCCCAACATGGGGAGCATTATTCACAAGTATAAGCACCTTCTTAATCTCGATCCAGCCTTGAAGAAGCTAGTACGTGCTGACAGTGTATTTGTAAGTCACCGAAAGAATCAAACTATCGGTGGCATGCTTGTACACAATAAGTATCGTGCTAGTGGAACTGTAAGCAGTGATAGAGGTGGAGAAGCCACTGCTAGTCAATTTCTTGAACCAGACGCTGCAATATTGCCGGCTGTTCGGGAGGCTGACAACGCAGGGTGCCATGCCTGTGGAAAATGCTATGTTTGTAAGCAAAGTTTCCTGTCCCCATGTTCCAAATTTAGTAGTCACCATTCTAAACAAGTTTTCCCTATTACTAAATATATAACTTGTCAGAGTAATAACCTTATTTATTTAATGGAGTGTAGAACTTGTAAACAGTCGTATGTAGGATATACTACTTCTAATCTCCCTAAGAGATTTTCTAATCATAAGAGCCACATTAAGAAAGGTATCAGAAGTTGTAAGTTAGTAAATCACTTTTTAGATATTGATCATGATTTAGATTTTAGTTCAGTAGCCTTATATAACTCTTCACTTAGTACGCACCTTTCTGTTATTATAGTGGACGCTCTTGAATTTAAACCTGAAATAAGTCAAGCAGATAGGGAAAAGGCCATGGAAGCTAGAGAGGGGTTCTACCAGACCCAATTGAAAACCCTTGAGCGTTATGGGGGTATGAACACCCTCGATAGTAACCACATCCTTTTTAAATCCGCTGGAGCTTAGTGTTTAGTTTGTTTATTTTATTTGACATGATCTCAGCCTATTAACCCGTATTTAGTTTACAATATTGCTATCAGAGACGTGTTATATTCATTACTATTTATATATTTTTACTGCTTGATTCAGAGAAATCAAGCTTTTTCCGAGAAACTAATCTTTAATAGATTAGATAAAATGTACGCAGCCATTCTTTTCGTTTGATTATTACCCAGTATATTTTAGTTTTGTACCGTTTTAAGTCACATAGTTTTGTACGTCTTCCTAAGACTTGTTTTCCTTTCCTAGTTTGTAAGTTATTTTAAAGATTTGTGAATATTCCAGTTGCTTTTAGAACAATTTTATCTCAGATAACGATGTTTAATAAAATGATGCAAAGACTTATTTCGAAGATCTAATCAACACCGACTTTTAATGTGTAGGAGTACAGCTACAACATATATATATATACAAATATATATAATATATATATATAGCAATTCGTGGAAATTGGAATAAGCTGTTGCGCAAATAATTGGCTATCAAATAAATAAGAAAAAATAATTTATCGGTAAGTTACTAAACTACTACTAGTTACTACTAAAGTAAGTTAGTTACAGATAAAGAAATTGGCTCATCCCTTGAAAACTACTTTTTTCGACTCAATACACGAATTATCGAATGTTTTATTGTCATAAACATCCAGCTTATTAGGAGACACACTTCCCCGCTCATCAGCAGTTTTCATTACAGATTTACACACAATACGAACATCATCTACCTTACTCGCATCATTGACCGGTTTGCTTCCTTTTCTAATGTTAACTTGTATCTCGCTCATAACTTTACCCACGTTATTGGAAGGGTCCACTACGTAAACCCTGCAGAGTCTGTTAACAAATGACTTGAAGTAGTCCTGGAACCCCTTGTTTATCATACCGTATATTATAGGATTCCCCCACGACCCCAAGAAGTAGAAATACCTTACTTTTTCCACCCAGTCGTATAACCCATCTTCTCCAACAAATGCAGCGTACGCGAACCTCACCACAGTTGGCATCCAGGTGACAGCGAAGAGCGCGGTGATAAAGGTGGTGGTGATGACACCTTGTCTGTAAGAAGCTCTGAATCTCTTACTCTGCTTCTTCTCCATCTCCGTCATCTCACGACGCGACTTGCTGTCCAGCTTTGCAGATAAGTGCCGAGTAAACGCGCGCACGTGCAACCACAACAACACGTTTAGTGAAACTATCACTAGGAACGGCACAACAGTCGTTCCGAAGATTAGGATAGCATTTCCAGTGGATTTAGGGAAAGTAAAGCTGCAGGAAGCAAGTTTAACGTTGAACACAATCCTGAGTTTCACTGCCAGAGTGTAAACAGGGAAGATACAGGACAGAGCCCACATTATGAGACACCCTATTGTAGCCATGAAAGGAGTAATTTGTGTTACTTTCAAAGGGAACCTGCACCTCACGTATCTATAGAGTGACATGACCAGTATAAAGTTCATGTTTGCAGTAGCAGGGAGACTTATAATAAGTCCTATAAGATAGCACACCTCCGCTCCAAACACCCAGCTCCGTGCTATATACACTACCATTATAGGGACCGGGTAGAGCAGAGTGAACAACACATCAGATATAGCTAGGTGACGCAGCAGGATTATAGTTCCCTGGTCTAGTTTGAAGTGGTTGGCTTGTTGGCCGATAGTTGCTGCTATTACCAGCACATTACCAAACAGACCCACAAGGTTACCAACAGCCAGGAATATAGCGTAAAACACTGATTCTGTGTAAGATGCAGCCACTTGGAGCTGGATTGAGGAGGTGAGATTTAGGGAAACTTCAGAGGTCATCACTGAAAATACCAGGGTAAAATACACGTGTAAAATACACGTGTAAAAAAAGTGTAATAAAAGTGATCGTAATAATATGGTAAAGGAAAAGAACTGATACATTTATACAATTGCAGTAGCTCTACAAGGTCACGTACGAATGATTTATACAAACATCTACCCAGTGTAAAATACAACAATAACAAAACAGATAGGGATGTGCACGTTACTTACTCTTTACTATTACTACATGCGAGGGGGGGGGGGGTGGGGGGGGGGACCCCGCTACACGACTAATTAGCTCCTAGCTGTATTTAATAATTTGTACTATCTATGAAGTACCCCTTACTAGAAGTAAAACTACAAAAGTTCAATCTTCAGAGTTATCTGAACAACATTTGCAATCTCAGTACAACTGGGACCAGTCAAATTACGGAATCTTGGTAGAAGCATTACGAATTGAATAAATTGTGAAACGGAAAAGCAATTAAAAATATACCCTCAACCTTAGCACTAGCTATAAATGTGTTAATTTTAAGTCGATAAAATTGATACTTTTTGAGAAGAGTCCAATTTATTTGTGGCGTTATTTTCCGTTAACTTGAAATTATCCCATGATGATATGGTTCATCGTTTTTCATCATCTCAATATTATAAAGTCACTAGAGCCACTAGTTACTCAAATAGAGTCACAAGATAAGTTATAACAAGGTGTTATCAGTAACATACTACTGAGTAAACCAAGCACAATACTGAAGAATCAAATAATTAAACAATCCAAGAGTTTGTTGTTTTTTCCATAGAATACGGAATAGTCATTACAACAAGTAAGGACACGGTTAAACTGACCAATCAGTGAGCTCGCAGTGATTGTACTGTATCTAGCATGCAGTATGTTTCATAATACGCCACCCTGATACTCTATAGTGCTTAACACTGTACCTTCTCTACTAAACATAACACGACTAATTACTTTGTAACTAGGTTACTTATTACTTAATAATTACTTTGTAACTGAACAATCAGCTACTATTTTGTAAATTTAACTTAAGTTTAAATTAGACGTTTGACGGTATATGTGACTTCGAACTGAGGTCATGAAACTTGAAAGTGAACACGTGATCAATCCATACAATTATCCCGGGATGCCATATATAATAATAATAATTGCATGGATTGATCACGTGTTAACTTTCAGGTAAACAAATAAACCTCACCTCCCACCACAATCCACATTTATAGTTCTGAAGAAATAATAAAAAGAGAAACTGATCCCTCATAGAGTGAGTCACCGGTTGGCCGGAAGCAGAAATGAATGGGAAAAGCGAGCGACCGATTCATTCTCGGTATCATTTTGCATTTGAGAACGGTCAATCAAATTAATATCATATCCTTTTGTTTGGAAAGATAGACAATGCACACTGGCAGCGGTCCACTCTACCCATGATTATGGGTTTTGGTCAAATTGCCTATCAAGTATTACTATTAGATATGTGAGGAGCACTCAGAATTAAATTGTGGTATGTTTGGAATGAAAAAAAAAAAAAAAAAAAAAAAAATTTGGAGTCCATGTTACCACTATGCAAGGAGATATTGGAGGAGTGGAATCTTTTTGTCAACGAATCAAAAACAGAGTTCACACATATCTATCTGGCCGAGAAGAACGAAGTTGATGACAAAGGAGAGCCACTTCGAGGAAGAGAGCCCTGGAGATCATCTATCTCACTTGGTTCCAAATTGTGCAGCAACGAGGACATAAAAAGACGATGTATTCTGGCAAACCTTGCTTTCCAAACCTACAAGAAAGTTTGGGAACAAGGTAAACGCATACCTCTTAAGACCAGACTTAAGATCTACGAAGCCCAGGTGGTCTCCGTCTTAATGTATAATTGTAGCTGCTGGGGCAGCTTCAAAGCAGCTACTGAGTAAACTGGATATTTGCCACAGAAAGCATCTGAGGCAAATCATCAGAATGGACTTACCCTAATATAATCAAAAACGACACCCTTTACAAGAGATGTGAAGTGGTTCCACTCAGTGAGCGTGTTGCATGTGCACGATGGAGGATGCTCGGGACATGTCCTTCGCAGTGATAACAACTCACCTGCACAGCTTGCATTACACTTTGCAGTAGAGAGTCAGAGTACTAAAAAGGGTAGAGTAGGTAGACACCAGTCGAACTTGCTTAAGACTATTAAATTTGATTTAGGTAGCAGGAACATTCCATTTGTAAATACAGACGATTTGTACAATTTAAGACTTTTAGCCCTGATAAGCGGGGGAAGAATTGTTTTGCTGTGTACATTTTTTTTTTTTTTGGGGACTTATCAATCTTTAAGATGTTCATTTATTTCATTTTGATTAATAAGTTTTTAAAAATATGTTTGGAAGACGAGTTTTCCCCCTTCGCACCGTTTTAACTACAAAATGTATGCGGGTTTTCGAATATAATAGGGGGGAAACGGGGTTTAACTTTTCATTTCAACTGCAAATGGAATCCCGGCCGTATGCCGGGTTACATAGTATTTTATATCCCCAAAGGTAGATTGTTAAAATTGAAGTACGGGCTCCGGTACTTGACACCAATTATTTCAGCAATTTAAGTGTTTACAGAAACACATTTCCAATTACCTAGTGGCTGAGCAGGATTACAGGCAACTAATAAATTTAAAGTCAAATTTAAGGGAAATCCGGGACAGAAGCTGACTATTTTCTAAGTACAACTAAGAAAATATAATAGTTCTATTAAAAGGTTCCTAAGGCTAGCTGAGGCGAGACTAGGAATTAATAAACCCTGTATTTGTATACTCGACTAGTAGTACTATTTGAGTAATACAAAGTGGGAGGGGGGGAAAAGCACCAGTTAATTGGGCATTATTGTTTTTTGTTTGTTTTTTTATAAACCCGCCCCAAACTCGAAAAAAAAAACTAAAACCCGGTCTAGTGTGAAAACGGGGGGTACCCGCAAGAGTGTTCATTAAAATTTTGAAATTTTGTAAAACTGCAGTTCAATTGTGCTAGAGTATTTTAGATATATCTTGGGTTTCAGAAATATCCCCCTACGCCCCAAAAATTTTGGAAAAGCCTTTAACATACAATCACATACCCCAAAGGCCTACACAGGCAATCCCTCCATCTACTGCCCGCGTATATTTGTAAAGCCCAGGGCGCGACGGGAAAAAACCACACCGCAAGTTCAATCCGTGCAATGCTAAAAGTAGTCTAGGCTCATCCCAACTTTCGCACAATTACGGAATGTTTGAAGGAAAAGAAAAAAACAAAAAAAGGGGGAAAATATAAAAAAAATACGATATAATGTTAGCCTTGGGACATAACTTTAATTCCCGGGTTTCAAAATCAGCTTTTAAAAAAAAAATAATAATAAAGTTGTAACTCGATCCCAAACCGTTATTGAGCGATAAAAACTGATAGTTGATTCCTTGGGGTTTCAGAGTCATTCAAGTTCCACTTTGAATGTGGTTCTTGTTCAGTTCTTTACCAAATGTCTAAAAAGTAAGTCAACAAACAACCTTCCTTAAAAATGCCATAAAGCGTCCATCCCCAAAATTTTGATTATGACCCAGTGTAAAAGTGCAGAAACGCCGAAAATAAAAAAGACAAAAAAGTTTTAAAAAGGGAAAAGGGTTCAAACACAAGGAAAATTAAAAACTTAAGCGTAATAAGGAAATCTCCCAAAAGAGTTTTTTTGAGAGGGTGAAGGTTTTTTTAATTAGAGCTAATATTAAATGAACCCACTAAATCTAAATTACCGGGCTGCTGCAAGGGAAACGAGAGGGGGAATAAAACAAAAACGGGAAAAAATTTTTTAAAAATGAAACAGAAACGAAAAACTAAAAATATACCGTTCTAGAATGCCTCCGCAAACTATTTCTCCTTTGTAAGGCCCGTGTTGTAAGTTAGTAAAAAGATAAAAAAAAAAAAGCAAAAACAAAGAACGGAGCGGGAAAATCTGGAGGGTGAGAGGGCTTAATTAACTAATGTTAATTAAACCCCCAAAGGACAAAAATTTAAACCGACTGCTAGCAAAAGGATCGAGAGTGGGAAAAAAACTAAAAGCGGAATAAATTTTTAAAAATGAAAAAGAAACTGAAAGCTAAAATAATACCGTTCTAGAATGCCTCCGCAAACTATTGCTCCTTGTAAGTGCACGTGTTTTAAAATGTAGTAAAAAGATAAAAAAAAATAAAGCTATACAAATAACGGAGCGGTGAAAATCAGAAGGGTGAGAGGTTCTTAATTTGAGCTAATGATAAATGAGACCCACAAGGTACAAAAAAAACCGGGCTCAGCAAGGATTCGAGAGTGGGAATAAAACAAAACGGAATAAATTTTAAGATAAGAAACAGAAACGAAAGCAAAATATTACCGTTTAGAATGCCCCCCGCAAACTATTGCTCCTTTGTAATGTCCGTGTTGTAAATGTAGTAAAAAGATAAAAAAAAAAACTAAACAAAAAAAGGGGGTGAAAACTAGAGGGTAGAGGTTTTTAATTAAACAAAATTAAAGAACCCACTAAAGGACTAAATTACCGGACTGCACAAGGGAACAAGTGGGAATAAAAACTAAAAGCGGAAAAATTTTAAGAAATGAAAAAGAAACGAAAGCTAAAATATAAAACCTTCTAGAATGCCTCCCAAACTATTCTCCTTTAATGTCCGGTTTGTAAGGGAGAAAAAAAAAAATAAATAAAGCATACAAAAACGGAGCGGTGAAAACTGAAGGGGGAGAGGTTCTTTAATTTGGGTAATATTAAAGAGACCCCTAAAGGACAAATTAACCGACTGCTAGCAAGAATCGAGAGTGGGAATAAAACTAAAAGCGGAAAAAAATTTTAAAAATAATGAAACAAAACTGAAAGCTAAAATTTACCGTTCTAGAACCCCCGAAAACTATGCCCTTTGAAATTCCTGTTAAAAATGTAGTAAAAAGATAAAAATAATAAAGTATACAAATAAACGGAGCGTGAAAACTGAGAGGGTGAAGGTTTTTTAATTTAAGCA